TCCTTTCTGACATCACGGGAGGCAGAGAGAAGGGGGCGGGGTTAAGGCTGTGTTTACTTAGTGATGCTTTCCTGGCTGCTTCACCATCCTTGGGCTCAACAGCAACCCAATAGGGTATTTGTTAACAGAAGGTCTTCGGCAGATGAAACCAAACAGCCGCCATGTCTCAGGGCCTGGGTAGCAAGGCAAAGATAAATGCTGATTTCAAAATCAAATTGCAATTTCCCTGCGTGTCTCAGGTGATAAGAAAAGGATCATGGGAATAAGTGTTGGATGATTATGACAGGGGCCTAGACCTGGGTCCCTTCCACCCGTCATGACAGAGATGGCTCAGCAGGTAACAGTACTTGTCACACAAGCCTGGTGACCTGTGTTCAAGCTCTGAAATCTGCATAAAGGTGGAAGACAGAACCAACTCCATAAAGTTGTACTCTAGCATTCATGTGCACATATAAGAAATAAATCAGTAATAATTTAAATAAAAAAAAGAAAGTTGTGATGGACATGACCTGATAATATTCACTGAGTGCTTGGCACATTCCAGACATAGTGTAGTGTTTCATTCAATCCCCACCTCTGGGTGGATGCCACTGTCTTTAGGAACTCCACTTTACAGATGGGGAAATTGAGGCTGAGAGGGGCCAGTGATGGGGACTAGGCATAAAGCAAAAGGCCAGGACCTGCTTGCATCCAGGAAGTCTGGCTCCAAATCCCATAAACTCAAAAGCAGTCTAGGAATGTGGCTTACTCAGTAGAGTGCTCTCTTAGCCTTCACAAAGTCCTGAGTTCCAGCCCCACCTCCCCTAAGACTGGGCACTGTGGCACATGCCTGTGATCCCAGCACTCAGGAGGTAGAGAGGCAGGAGGATCAGAAATTCAAGGTCATCTTCCGCCACACAGCAGACAGCTCGTTGGTGAGGAACACTCTCTACTCCTCTTCCAGAGGAATCAAGTTTGGTTCCCAGCCTGCCACATGGCAGGCAGCTCACAATCACCTAGAGCTACAGCTCGAGGGGATACAACGCCCTCTGCTGGGTTCCACAGCCACCTAGAACATCCTCTGGCCTCCAGGCAAGAATCACAGAGCCTCTCTTATCAGAGGGAAAATAGGACAGTTCTGGGGAAAGGACCAACAGAGGTGGTTGGGTAGAACTCAGCACTTTCTTCTCTGGCGACTCAACAACCAGAGATCGTACGTACGGCTCAGCAGGTAAGCCACTGAGTTCTTCATTTAGATGCCATCTCACCTCCTGTGGGCCAAGTGCCACCTCTAGAAAGTGGCAGGACCTGTCTAACCATTTTTCCTCTTAGTATAAAATGGAGAAGACAATCACATCCACCACTCAGGATCCCCAAAGGGATCACACAGAAACCCATATCATCTATTCACCTTCCAAGCATGCCTGTGGAATTAGACCACACTATGAACTGACAGAGGAGGTTCTTTTGGTTTCTTCTTGTTTATTTTTTAATGTTTTTAATTGAATAGAATTATATTGCCTCCCCCTCCCTTTCCTCTTGCTAGCCCCTCGAAGTTCCCCTTCTTCAAGTCCCTCTCTCAAATTGATAACCTTTTATTAATGCATGTATATGTGTATATAAATATATAGATAGAACCTGCTGGTCCGTTCTTGTTGTTTGTGTATGTATGGTTTCAAGGCTGTCCAATGCAGACTGGTCAGCCAATAAGGAAGCTCATCTCTCCAAGAGGCTGATTCTCCTCCAAGCAGTCAATAGTACCTGTAGTTCTTTGTGGTCTCACAAGCCCGGTGGCCACTCAGTAAGATGTGCCTGCTGCAGCTAGCACCCTCGGGTAAAACCTGAAGTCATTTGTCCCCACTGTCCCCAGAGAGATGGCTCCCATGAAGCATGCAAAAATCTGCTCATACTAAATACCACCAGATGCCACGATGGTCATGAGATCCGACCTGATGTCCCCGTTAGGAGAGGAGAAAGCACATGATCAATAGAGCCACGTGATAGGACTGACTTTCTCCAGCTGAAGTCTCCTCACACGGATGGGCTGAGCCCTCCTGCAGTTATGACTCTTCTAGCTATCCTCACACTCCATTATACTCAGCAGTTAGTGCAAACCCTGCCTACACTGATCGGTGGAAGCATTTGTAGCATCTAGCTAATGTCTGGTACCAAGCTCCATGCCCATAAGCCATGGAACTCCCAGCAAGTCCCCTTGCAGTGGAAACAGTTATCAGCCTCATGCTACCTGTTAGGACACTGAGCTCATAGACCCATATCACCACCGCCCCCGGATGTATCAGAACCAGACTTTAGTCTGCTGGCTGCAAAGCCCATGATGGTAGGCATTCCACAGGAGCCCAGAGGGAAGGTCCATGGCTGCTGCATTCAACTGTCCTTCATAAAAAGCAAAACTACATGGATATGCCGTCTCAACCCAGTCAGGATGGCAGTGATCAGGAAAATAAATGACAAAAAATGCTAGCAGCAATGTGGACAAAGGGAACCCTTACACACTTCTGAGGGAATGCAAACCAGTCCAGCCAACAGAAGTCAGTATGGAGGCTTCTCAACTTACTAAAAATAGACCGTTCATATGACCCAGCTATGACACTGCTGGGTATTTACTCAGTTTCTCTAAACCAACAAGTCACAGGGATGCTTGGGCATCACTGTTTATTGCAGCACTGCCCACAATAACTGCTTCATGGAACCGACCTAGGTAGACAACAATAGAAGGGGTAAGGAAACGTAGTGCGTGCACACAATGGGAGTCTCCCCAGCCATTGTGTGGAATGAAATTATGCCGTCTGCAGGAAAATTGACTCAATAGCTAAGTGAATTAAGACAGTCTCAGAAAGATGAGTATCATAGGTTCTCTGTCACCGGTAGTTCCCAGGTTTGTCAAAGATATATAAAGTCATCTACATCTGACACGAAAAAAGTGCAATTGTCTAGGATGACAAAGGGGACTAACAAGACATGGTGGGGGGAGGAGGCCATGAGGGATGATACACTGACTTATATCAGAGACACATACAAAAGCTTTAAAAATACCTGCTTTTGAAGCGAGATTTGAGGCTGGCGAGATGACTCAGGGGTTAAGTGTTTTATGTGCAAGCATGAGGACCTGAGTTCCAATCCCCAACACCTACAAAAAAAGCTCAGCATGGTCCCATACACCTGTAGCGCCAGCGCTGGGAGGCAGAGACAAGGGGAGCCCTGGGGCTAGCTGACCAGTCAGTCTGGCCACTCAGTGAGCTCCAGGTTCTGTGAGAGACCCTGCCTCAAAATAAGGTGAGGAGTGATTGAGAAAGACACCTGACATTGACCTCTGGCCTCCATCTGAGCACAATACTCCTATCCAAATGAATACAAATACACACAGACACACACAGACACACACACACACACACACACACACACACACACAGTGAAATATATCCTGAATCCCTGAAATTGGAGCAAAAATCCCCTGCTGACCTGCACCCTCTAAGTTTCTGGAACATTCCATCCTCAGCCCAGGAGTATGACTCAAGTGTGTCATCATCATTTGATGATGAGCAAATCCCCCCTTAGATATTATATGAAGTCTACCATTTATTCTTCTATGTCTCTGTTAGTCCCTTTCAGTTGGAAAGACCAAGAGTGTAGCCAAGTCTGGGGGAGGGGCGTTATAAACATGCTGCCATGTGCAATTGGACGCTCAAGGAAAGAAGAGCCAGGCCCATAGACAGATCCTGCCATATCACTCCAGGCTTGCTTTCCTAGATGCTGATGCTACTCCCAGGAATGACCTCTCTTCCCAAGTGCTTGGTGGCTGTCACCAGGTCAGGACCAGATTCTAGCAGCTCAGCTTCCCAAGTGAAACTGAGTCTCTCTCCTGCTACTCCAGCACTGACTTCAGATTGTATCTCCTGGGTCCACTAGACTCACATGTTCTAAACCTACCACAACCCTATGGCCAAGAGATAACAACAGTCTTTACCTTCAACACCCCTGGAACCTGTGAGCAGCCCAGAAGGGGAAGTCCCGCCCAATGAACTCGGAGACAGACAATGAGAAGTGTGTGCTGCCCGCAGTGTGGAATTCTTCCCCTACAGCCCCCAGAGCCATGCTCTATCCGCTCTTCACCCTCCTAATCCGGAGTCCTATCCCGTAGGACCTCCTCTCCTCTAGCTTTCTCCTGACCTCGTCCCATGCTTGAGTCACAGAGCAATGAGAACAATTTATAACTCCAAGGATGCTTTCAGGGAGGAATGGAGGGGAAATGAGAAAGAGAAATGATTTAATTCTTTTCCCAAAGTTCTGTGGCAGCCGCGGAGGTCTCGGGTTTACAGTCAGGCATTACAGAATCTTCTCATGAGGGCATTTGATTCGAGAAAGGCGGTTAAGCAGGGAGGCACTTGGCTGCTCCTTCTAAATGGAAATTTTCAATTAGTCTGAATAAGTTAATTACATCATCCTTTAGTAACCACTCCTGTGATTCTGAAAATCCTCTATTAATTGATTCAACCATTTACCCTCAAACCAAGCAGCAACAAACAGGTCGAGAGGGACAGAAGAAAAGCACTGGAGGGAGGCGGCTGTGCCAGTGGGTGTTGATCAACAGACACAGACTCGGCCAGCCAGGAAGAGGCCACCCAAAGTGAGAGAATGCCTCCCTCCGTCAGACTGCCCTGTGGGTAAGTCTGTGGTGCATTGTCTTGATTGATGTGGGAAGATCCAGCCCACTGTAGGTGGTACCACCCCTGGGCTGATGCCATGATGAGCAAGCCAGGAAGCAGCACCCCTCCATGGCCTCTGCATCAGCTCCTGCCTCCAGGGTCCCGAGATCCTGCCCTGACTTCCCCCGTGACAAACTGTGACCTGGAAGTATAAGCGGAAACAAACCCTTTCCCCTCCCCGTTGCTTTGGGCCGTGGTGGTTATCACACAACAGAAACGCTGACAGGGCAATGGGGAAGATAAGGAGTGCTGTCGGCTTCTGACCCACGCAGGCACGTGGGAGTCCCTGCCCTACCTGCCCCTTGGCCCGTCCAACCGCCTGAGAGGTGGAGAGCACCGAGTGGACCAGAAGACAGACAAGCAGGAGATGCCTCCAGACGTCTCCATCCATGGAGAACTAGGGTTGATGGTTCAAAGGTGAATAGTAACACCGACTGAGTGTGAGGCCCTTGATCCTCTACCTGTCCCACCAGATGGGCGTCCAGGGTTAGTAGTCCATGGAATTGTCCCCCAATGCCACTGTGTGCTATTTTGGTGAGTTGGCCAGATCTTGTGACCATCAAGAACCTGTGAACCTGTGTCCTCCTCAGATCCTTACCCACTAGGAACTCATTCTGCCTCCTGCTCCTTTAACTCCTTCTAAAAGATTTGTTTTTATTTTACGTGGATACACATGTGTGTATGAGTGAGTATGTGTGCACATGTGTGCACAGGTGCCCACAGGGAGAAAAGGATGAGCCGGAGTTACAGACATCTGTAAGCTCTCTGGGTTGCTGGGCCATCTCTCCAGCCCTCCCTTCCTTTTAAAAGATTTGTGTGTGTGTATGTGTCTGTCTGTCTGTGTGTGTCTGTGTGTGTGTCTGTCTGTGTGTGTCTGTGTGTGTGTGTCTGTGTGTCTGCATGTCTGTGTGTCTGTGTGTCTGTGTCTCTGTGTGTGTGTGTCTGTCTGTGTGTGTGTGTCTGTATGTCTGTGTGTGTGTCTGTGTGTGTGTGTCTATGTGTCTATGTGTCTGTATGTCTGTGTGTCTGTGTCTGTGTGTCTGTGTTTGTGTGTGTGTCTCTGTGTGTGTCTGTATGTCTGTGTGTCTGTGTCTGTGTGTGTGTGTCTGTATGTCTGTGTCTGTGTGTGTCTGTGTGTCTGTGTCTGTGTGTCTGTGTGTCTGTGTGTGTGTCTATGTGTGTGTCTGTGTGTGTG